CACATTTGTGCTGAAATTATTGGAAATTTTAAACTACGTCCTTCAATTTAAGGTTTAATGTATAGGAAATACGAGTTTTCAGCCTGATCTGAACTTTTGATTCTAATCGTAGCCATTTCATCTTTTCAAGTATACACCGAGTGAGTGTAAAATAACAAGTTACATTAAGCCATGAGACAAAAATGAACTTAACAAAAAGAAATAAAGAAAACATTTAGAATTTCAAAACAGCGTGTAATTTCTTGTTTTTATTTTGTAACCCCATTCATGGAGTGGTCAAACAGAGTGGACAAAGGTGCACCCTTGGCAGTTAATTAGGAGTGATTCATAGAAAACGTGGCTTGCAAAACCCACATTGTCATCATTGTGCTTCAAAATGGATCACAGCAGTCTATGAGACTTGGGACAGTAACATCCACCTTCAACTTGGAAGTTGGAACATGGAGTGATTTCATTGTCTGCTAGTATAAAAATGCAAGTACGTAGTAATTTATAGGGCATTTGCATACGTGGAGATGAGTTTCATAGGATCGCGCGCAAAGGAACAGCACGCGCACTGCCATCTCTCAGTCGTAGCAGGGGCTGAGCTGCTCTTTTTGGGTTTCTGCTACAAACCCCCAATATGTTATATGAGCTTGCATTTGTTTAATATCAATTATTAAGCATATTAAAAACTAGGTTGCTTCGACTAGCTTGTCGATGTTTTGTCTTTCACTCTTTTAGCCCCTCCTTGGATCTTCCGTTTCACTACTTCCCATCATTCCCTTTCTGTCATTGATATGTAATTTGTTAACTCTCTCTCTCTCTCTCTCTCTCTCTCTCTCCGTTCACACCTTTTTCGAGCAAACATTCTCAAGGCAGCTTCATTAAAACCAGCATGTTCACATCTAAGCATGGAGTCATGCATGATCATCTAACTAGGAATAAAAACAAGCCTATGCTGAGTGCACCATCTCCATTCATTTTCATCCATTGGTTTTTCTATATTTCCACATGTGATGTCAGGGCATTAAATTTAAATAAATATAAATGCATGGTTAAGGGTACAGGAATCAAACATCACATAAAAGCATGTTTTCATACACAAATTTATTTACGTGACAGTCAGTAGATACAAATAATTTTCATATATATATAAACCAACATGAACAATCCACTGTTATTGTTCAGTGAACCAAGCACACACTTGCAACTTGTCCAGTATTTTCTCGCGTACCAAACATCCATCACCTGCATGTGTGTACTTGTTTTTTTTATAGGATTCATGACAATTGATAATGAGGTGGTGTTTACTGCTAATAAGAGCTTAAATTAAATGAACTAGAATTGTCTATTGCAACTTGTTGCTACATGCATGTACTGCAATCATTCTAGAGTATTGGAGAAGGATGCCCCCATTTTGTTTGACCGACCTATTTTCGTTAATTTGTTATTATACTACTCATTGCCTGGGTTCCAATACTTGTGCCTGCAAATAAACACCATCGAGTCCCCAGTTGCCTTCTTTTTATTGAATTTCTGGATGCTTTTATCTTGCGCGTTGCACACACGACATAGCAATTTGAGCATTTACTATCCCATGCTTGTAGCATTACTTGTTGGCAGTTAATTAGAATTTCTTTCTTCTTCTTCTTCGTATAAAAACAAGCTTAACGACCCATAGGACATGTTCTTCACCACATTTCCATCGCAGGACAGCTAATTGTTTTTTCTCGAGAATCTAATTGGCAATCTATTTTCTTCCTTCGTGTTACAGATGAAAAACATCAAATAATGCAATGGTACTTTCAGGTCCCTCTACATGTTTTCCTGCTAAAAAATATATAGTCCCTCTAGATTAATACAATTCGGTTCAAAGAAATTAGTTAGGGGCCGGGGACGAGAAAAGGAAGAAAGAACATCAAATTGACAGAACTAAAAGTGCATGATCTTTTGCCATCCAAGTGTTTAGCCATGTTTATGGTTAGGCCGAGAGAGCGGAATTATAAACACCTATTGCCTGATTAGGCAAAAGCAAAACCTGAAAATTGACTGGAAATCTAAATAATAACATCCCCAATTTGTTAGGCTGAAAAGTGAAAATACCTACCACCTAGCTAAATACATATTATATTTTCTGATGGAACCTGATCCATACTTACGATTAGCACTTTTGATAATGTTTATAGATTGGCTGATATCTAGCAATTAACACCTGGACGAATAATTAATTAATGCTATTTATTAATCTTTCAAGAAAATATCAACGATCAATGGAGAGGACTTGACTTCAGGTTCTCACGCTGCATATCAATTATATGGTTAACAAGATTCAGGATAAATATTTTTGGAAGAATAGCGTTAATTACTTTATTTTCCATTCATAAAAAATACAGAAACTCAACAGTAGATTGAGCTGAGCCTCACTGTACATATGAGCTGGCCGCATTACCTAATAGTCTAGTACTATATAAATGGCATGGCATGGCATGGCATGGAGGTCAATCTTGCCCATGAGGGGGACGCGATGCAAGACACCAACGATGCTGTGCTGTCTAGTTCAATATTTAGCTTCCCTATTTGATGATAGGGAAGAGACAGATGAACGGCAGCTGAAATAGCCAAAAATATGCCTTTGAATATGATGGAATAAAACTTGTAGTTTTGGATTAGGTAACTCATGGCTTTGTCCCCCATCACAAATACGATTTAATCAAATTGAAAACCAAAAACACGAAATGGGACTCCCAGGATAATATTTTGGACTTTTCGGATAACGATTACTAACCAGTGGCTCATCAAGCCTGTTCAAAATTGTGGTTACTATTATTTTTTAAATGGTTTTTCATACTAAAATATATGTTAATAATATTTTTTTATTTTTTAAAAATTATTTTTGATATCAGCACATTAAAATAATTTAAAAATACTAAAAATATATTAATTTAAGGTTAATAAAAAAATAAAAAAATTTCAAATTTTTTAAAAATATTTTTAGAATGTAAAAACAAACAAGTCATCTTGATGCTGTAACACCGCATAAAGTTCTATGATTGCTTCAGAAAACTCAGAACATTCAACGCTAAAAAATGTTCTTTATGGTAGCTATGTGACAATTGTACAGCACTGACGAAAATTCGGCAGTGGTGTTTCATAATTTGGAGCCCATTATTGTTAAATTATCAAATATTTTCCGATCAGATGATCAGGGTATATATGTGCGTGTATACATCCTCTTGAGGACAGTTCATAAGTTGCAAGGTTCAACGCATGGGACAAAGTGACTTGGTTGAATAATGCATGGAAATAATAAATGTATAATTAATCTGAGTTAGATTGATTTATCTAAGATAGTGACGGTCCATTAACTCAATTATTTGGTTTAGAAACTAAAAAATGACAAAGAGCAAGCTGGATTTGGAAAACTTGAATAAACCCCGCTAGTGTGTGTGTGTCTGTGTGGACGTAAGCGTGTCATTTTTTTTAGGTCATAGCCTGCCATGTGTAGTAGAAGATGGTTAATTTATTTAGAATCACGTAATTAAATTGATCGCGATACTAATACTTAATCTATCATTTCTTATCACGGTGGCAAATTAGCCTCACATTCTGTAGCTGATTTAGACACTGTTTAGTATTATGACAGTTTTTTTCTTTCAAATCACGTAGAAAAAATTATTTAATCAATTAAATAATTTATATTTTTTTATATAAGGTTTTATATATAATTGTATTTCAAATTTTTATTTTGTAAAAATTAATATAATTTATTTTTTATTTATGAAAACTTATTTTTTTATTTATTTTACATTTAAAAATCCATCTAAATATATATTTTTAAAAATTTATATTATAAAACAACAACTAAAAATATTTTTTTAAACCAGCTATTATATGATAACTATGAACACACACTTGCTTAAGTAGCTCATGACCCTCACAGTAGAGTAATCTATTTATTTTTTATTTATTTATTTTTTTTATTAACGTGGGTGTCCGGGTCGGTTTACGCGCACTACGACTAATTCCACGGCTCACTGAACATCCTGCAAGCCCAGTGAACAAGTAAAGCACCGCGGGGTGATAGGCATACCACACAGAGAGGAGTCAGTAGAGACAGGAAGGAAACTACTCGCCAGCTCCACTATCACTAAGACTCAAATCAAAGTTTGAAAGAAGACGAACAGCTCCTACACCACTGAGCTATAAGCAGCTACAAGCTGCTTGGAATAGGCGTACCACACAGAGAGGAGCCAGTAAAGACAGGAAGGAAACTAACCGCCAGCTCCACTATCACTGGGACTCAAATCAAAGTTTGAAAGAAAGCGAGCAACTCCTATGCCACTGAGTTATAAGCGGCTTGGTAGAGTAATCTACTTATTTATTCGTGTCTTGTTAGTAAAGGGTAAGAAATTAAAATTAAAACTTCAGTATTACAGGATGCTGGCAGCGCGAATTGACAATTCATGAACCACTGGGTAATCTTTACTCTCAAATTACCGTTCTCCGAGCACGGAGGGCGTAATGATATTGACATGGACGAGAAGGGTTGCCCTTTAATTGTACCAGAACAGTAAGGTAGGCATCAGAGGCCTCGGCCTCGTTGTCCGTCGGAGGCAGCACGCAATCACTGTTTTAGAAATCTAGAGTTGAAGGATCAGGGACCACTGTCCAAAGCCAATGCAGGATGCAGAACCTGTGTTTCCTGTGTACATTTGTTTTTGAGGCTGTCTTGAATACCTATTACCTACTCTCAGTTTCATGTTCACTGGGAAAGAAATAGTTGACCGATTGGAAACCATATGATCCTCATAAATCAGAGAGCAGAAAGTTGGGAGTCGAATGGGTCCAATAAAAAAACGGCATGCTTTTGTTCAACTTCATCAGTTAACAGATTGACCAAATCTATGCAGGGAGGAAGATCTTGATTTTTTAAAAAAAGAAAAGTCTTTTTGTTAAGAAATTGTGAAAAAATAAAGCACATCGAAAACCAAGCAAAAAATAGGGGAAACAAAACGCGAACAAAATTATTTCTGTATGGGGAGAAACACACGAGTCTTGAAAAAATATAAAGGTCTTTTTTGTTCCATCGTGTAAGCTTCTTGGCATCCAGTTCTCCACTTACATGGCATTAGGACTTGCTTACAACACAAATCCCAAGAATGAATTAGGACTCTGTAACTACTAAAAACAAACTAGTATGAGTAAACACTTGCTAGGAATAACATTCACAAAATAACCCTTTTCATTTCTCCATCCAAAATTCAAGATTTTTCCGTGTATTTATAGTGTCTCTAAAAGAACCCATTGAGGAAAAAGGATCCCCAATACAAAACCAAGAACATCCTATTGCTGCAAAACTGGTTGCTCGTTGCACAATCTGGTACCCTTTACGAATCCTCGATATGTAAATGTAACTCAAATATTCTTCCATCGTTTTGTTTAAGACCTAAATCGAAAGAGATGAATTAGTATGCACAATCGCGATGGATGTGATTAAGCAATCTTCTTCACCATGCTCATCGGGCACAATACCGCACGGATTGCATTGATGGTGCTGCAAACTTCGCCATGCTCGCACGAACCTGGCACGCGAGGATTCGAAGCCAAGATTGCAAAAAATGTAGCGCGCGTAGCATTGCCGAAAACAAAAATGCTGCCCCTAAAAAAAAAAATGATAGCTGGAAAAAGGCCGGATTGAATGATTTCATTGTAAAACCTACTACTACTGCTACTACTCATCCATGAAGCGTTTCACAATCTTCATGCTTGGCTCCAACACATCTCTCCCCCAAACCTCCACCCACCTCTTATTCTTCTTTCTTTTCTTCGTATTCTTTCTATGATCATCCTCATCTGAAGTCCTCACCATCATCACCTCTCTAAAGCTCTCCGTAGCATCCACTCTTTGCAGGTCCCACCCTGCACCCTTTAATCTCAAGATCTTTCCAATCTGCCTCTTTGCCAGCTGACACGTGTTCTCCTTGATCTCCCTCACGCACTCCTCGTATATTCCTCTCCGTACCTGATCCCACTCCCCAGCAATGCCCCTGCCACAACCAGACCCAGGTGGGTACTTTTTGAAATACCGGTCAAACTCAGGCACCCCAATCGCTTTCCTCAACACGGTTTGACTCGCTGAGTCGATTGACCCATAATATTCTGACAACTCGTCGAACATCCCTGAGTCGAGCATTTCATCGACTCGCATACACAAGTAATCGCATAAAACAGGTAATGACACATCCACCCACAGAAAACAACAGTTATACCTTAACTGGGTCGAAACAGGGTTAGACCCATCAAAAACGTTTAACTCGGGATTAAACCGATCAACAACTAGAGCGTGAACAAGGGAGTTGGACCCACCAACCACGATAGGAAGTCTTTGCCTTGAAACAATACCTGAGATAGCCCGTCCACCGGCTAACCGAAACTCGGAGAGAGTCAACTCACCATCGTCTGGGTCGAACTCACCGAGTAAATGGTGAGGAACACCGAGGCGGTCTTGAATGGGGATTTTGTTGGTGATGATGTCGAGACCCTTGTAGACTTGCATTTTATCGGAGTTGATGATTTCGGAATGGAAGCGTGTAGCAAGATCAATGGAGACCTTCGTTTTTCCACACCCTGTTGCTCCCATTATTACAAGAATCTTGTCTTTTTTATGGTGGTGGACGCCGGCGGAGGAGGAGTCCGTATACATACGGACTCCTCTTGGTGGTGGGCGGGGCTTATTGAAGGGTTTAGAAATGGTAACGGGGTGGAGTGGTTGGATTTTATGGGCAGTGTAATGGGATTGAATAGTACTCTTTGGGAAGGTAAGTTTCATAGGCAACGAAAAAACAGAGAGATAGAGAGAGTGAGACGGACAGACAGCTGGCTCTCTGGATATGTATTTTGCTGAGCTGTGCTATGGGAAGCTAAGAGCTCCGCAGACAAAAACGGAACAAGAAGACCATTGTTTTAAAACCCAACCTGATAATTGATCCGGTTAAATAATTATGTTATGGGTCAGATAGGTTGAACCGGGTCAATCCGGTTTAATCTAAAAAAAAAACTCTGTTTTTTCTTCTCATCTTTTTCATATGTCCCCCCAAACAACAGGGTTCTTATCCTCTTTTGAGTTCGATGCTCGATTTTTGCCTTGCTTCAAGGCGAGGGCCCAAGAACACTAGAGACATAGCAGACATATCCCAAGCAGAACGACCATGTCCAGAAACCACAGGTGGCGTGGAAGACTAGTATCCAAATAAAATTGGTCGAAAGTGAAAATAAAGTCCCAGAAATACAAAGTCAAGGGTGAGAAAAGAAAAGAAAGACCCTATTCTGAGAGACCATTGTTTTAAAACCCAACCTGATAGTTGATCCGGTAAAATAATTAAGTTATGGGTCAGATAGGTTGAACCGAGTCAATCCGGTTTAACCTAGAAAAAAAAACTCTGCTTTTTCTTCCCATCTTTTTCACATGTCCCCCCAAACAACAGGGTTCTTATCCTCTTTTAAATTTGATGCTCGATTTTTGCCTTGCTTCGGGGCGAGGACCCAAGAACACTAGAGACATAGCAGACATGTCCCAAGTAGAACGGCCATGCCCAGAAACCACAAGTGGCGTAGAAGACTGGTACCCAAATAAAATTAATCAAAAATGAAAATAAAGTCCCAGAAAGACAAAGTTAAAGGTGAGGAAAGAAAATAGAGACCCTATTCTGGGATGACAAAACAGAGAGAGAAGAGAGGTAGAGAAACTTTTTGATTTGATCTAAAAAAAGATTTAAACTTGAATGAATCCAAAAATTCCTCCATTTTGTAAACGTTTTCTTATATTTTTCTTCTTTCTGATTGATTGATTCCAATCACTGTATATTATATTATCATATTACTTCTTGTTGTTGCTTAATAATGGCTTCACCTGTTATCCAAAGCAGCAACAATAAGGAGGTGGGGGAATAATAGAGGGAGGTGGAGGTTTTGATCTGAATAAATTATTTAAGCCCTTTCCTTCAGATCGTATGAATATGATACAACCTCATATCCAACAAGAACAGCAACAGCAGTAAGGTCATTCTCCATCTACCAATAGTAACAATGATGTCGTTTCATTTTTATATATATATAAAAAAGGTTGGGTTTTATCTGGGTTTACTCGGGTCAACCAGGTTCCAGGTTGACTGGGTTTCACCGGGCTAACTCCCAGACGGGTTTTTACTTAGACCCGGACCGATCCCAGGCCCAGGTCGGACGGGTCCCGGGTTGACCTACCGGGCCGATCCAGGTTTTAAAACTATGAAGAATACACCTTTGAGAGAGACAGAGTTTGTTTATATATGCAGCATAATATCTCGGACTGAGATTTTGTGCTGTTACAAGAGAGAAATTAGAAACGGCATCAACTTTGTATGTGCTTAGCTACTTCTACTAAACTATATATCTATAGTAGTAAGCAACTAATTTTATTTATTTTTTAATTGCTTAGCAACCTCATCTTGAGCTTGGTATCAGTTAGTGAAGTGCAGAAGAGCTATAACTATATTTACTGGTAGCTGCTACCTCCGATCCTGGAAGGTTCTCCCGGTAACTATCGGGTTTTTATTTTTATTTTTAGTTTGAAATCTGAAGCATTCGTGTATTACTATGATGAATTGAAATAATCACCACTGCAAAATGGAGAGGTTAATCTTCTCCTTTCTTTCTTTTTTCTTTTTTTAAGCAAAAATGCTTGGATTTAGGACTTAAACTCGTAATATTCTATTCATACATCAAGAGTATTGGACTGTATTGGAATCTTATGTAATATTTCTTAGAACAAAATACTTGGAAGGAGGACTTTCTGTTCAGAGATCGTGATTCCAATTTTTATTCGGAATATATTTGCTTCATAATTCATCACTTTAAATACGTCAAGCTTATATAGATATGCGCTCTTAAAATCATTCGAAGAAAAACTGCCCTGGATTAATGTATAAATTAATTCAAGAATATTTGATCATTCACACTAGATATTGATATGACGTGACATATCTATCCCTTCCCATAAACAAGCTCAGCCTATGGCGTTCCTTTTACACGGTAATGAGTTAGGAATTTTCTTTTTGGAACCGGTAAGTGTATTTTTAAATTAGAACTCCTGCCCACATGTGAAAGAACAAAATAGTAGCTTTCTTTGAGATCATCATGAGTAGAGGAATTGGACTATTATAAAATATTTATATGAATTAAAGGTGTTTTTTTTTTTTTGAGGGACTGCGGCGCTTGCCACCTTCCCTTGTCACCGGTGTTCATTGCGTTTTGTCTTCAAATTTCAAGGTGATCTATGAATTTGGAATGAAATAATTTCAAAATTGATTAATATATTTAAATAAAAAATATTTTGACAGGTTAAGATAACATAAACTAGAAAGTAACAAATATGATATGTTAAATTTTTAATTTTTTTTATATTTTTTTAATTATTTTGATGTTTGGAATTTAATTTTTAATTTGCATGATTTATTTGATTTGTTTTATGTAATGTTATTATGGTTTTATAACTTAATAAATAAATTAATAGATTGATCATAGTTGATCCGAATCAATCTATTATATTCTTGTTTTAATATTTATAAAAGAAAATTTATATCAAGTATTTATTCTGAATGAAGTTATCTTTGTACTAATTATTCAAGTTATCTCCAGACTTATCAAATTAAATAAATTGTATCATGTCACTCCCACATAATTTAATTGTTTTTCTAATAAAAAAAATATTAATAATTCCAAAATATTTTTTATCCAATCCATAACATAGCCCGTGAAAAATATACAGTATTTAAATAAAAACGGCATCAACGTGTTGTTTTTATTTGTTATATTTCTTTAACGATCACAACTTACTCTCGCATCCAAAATTTATTTTCTTATTGATGACGGAACCTGCAAAAACTACTGAAGGACTAGATTGAAAAAAAAAAAGTCATGGAAACAATCGCGCCAAATGTTCAGTTGAAGGACAGATTGATGTTGATATCCTGATGTAAAGCATAATATGAAATATCGTTCAAGGATCTCATCACACATCATTCAAGAAATCATTTTCACAGTACATTCTAAAATAAATAAATAAAAATCACGATAATACAAAAATGTCCTCAGAAAATCTATAGTGTAGTTACATGTGTAAAGAGCGCCTAACGTGGAGATTGTTTAGTGGCAAGGTTCGATGCTGAAAAAAAATCTTTAGCTTTAACCCCTGTCACGATAACTTTGTTAATAGAGTCATGGTATAGTTTTTTTTAGTGTATATTCTAACTGAAACAAATTATTTTAACAACTCATTTATATTTTAATATTTTTAACATCATTTTTTTTTATTTTCTTGAGAAAAATAATTAAAAAAATGTTTAATTGATGAAAAAATAAATATTTAAATAGTCTATCTTAACTTCTTATTTTTGTAATAGATATATAGGAATAATTTTTTTCATATAAAAGTTATTTTGGCTGTTCAATTGACTACTCTTTGGAGCTTTAAAATAAGGGGAGAAAAAATTTAAAAAATAGCTTTTTTTAAATTATTTCCGGCTTCCTTAGCACTACACTGTTGAAAATTAGTATGCCTATTAAATGGAATGGGTTGCCTTGTGGTTTGGCAAAAGAACAGCATTTTTAACCAATTTGTAGTAGAGTGTGGCGTGGCTCTTTTTCTATCTGGTAAGATTAGTATTAGCTGATCAGATTTATAATAAATAAATAGCAAACCACAAGAGGTGGAGTCAAGATTTTCAGGCAATTAAGCTACAAAGACCTTCTATCTAATTTCGAGAGAAAACAAAAAACTTGTCATAACCCAAATCTTGACTATTTTCATTTTATCTTATTTTTATTAAAAAAAATTATATGTGAAAAAAATAAAATGAATGAAAAATAAATTAAAATTTGAGCTAAGACAACATAACTAAAAGTTTGAGGAATTAATTAAATTTGAAAATAGTTTCATTTATCTTATTTCCAGATGCAAACAGCGCCGTTTTGAACCACTATTTATTGCCTTTTACCTCATTCCAAGGACAAGGTTTTGTAGGGAATGTACGGCTGCCGACGATGCCCTCTCAGGAGACCACGATATCATGGCTAACAATCCAGACTCTTTTAAAAAACAGGAGCGAACGTGCCCCATTATCTGGAGACACGAACGCACAAACAAAGGCCATTCTCTGGCTTCATAAAAGCCAGAGAAGGCCATGAACCAAGGGAGGGAGGAAGAACGAATAACACAGGGGAGAGCACAAAGGAAAAAAAAAAAAAGACAAGCAGAAAAGAAGAACCACCAGAGGGAACCCAAGAGACACACAGACGAAGAGGGAAAACGAGAGAGAGAGACCGAGAGAGGACACTGGAAACAGGAGACGGTGAAACAGAACCAGGAGAGTGGGGACGGGAGTGAAGAACGAATAACACAGGGGATAGCACGAAGAGAAGCAGAGAAAGGAAGGAGGACAGACTAAAAAAGAGGAACCAGCGTTCTCAGCTTTGCCTTCGTCCCCAGAACGCAACCAAAGTGAACAGGGGAAAACAGAGACACTGCAAGCATTGATCAGCCTGGGCATTCGTCTTCAGCTTCAACACTCCGAACCATCAGAAACAGAAAGAATAAAACCAGAAGAACAAAGGGGAGGTAAATGGGTGCCCGGCTAGAGTCACCCGATCGCACAGAAAGAGCTCCACCGCGCCTTCGTCATCGTCTTTGTTCCTGAGTCCAGGTAAGCTTCCCGCTCCCCTTCATTTGTAGTTGCATGAGTACAGTGAGAAGGTAATTTTAATTACCTTCACACTGTGCACAGCATGCGCGAATAATTCCGCATGCGTGCCTCAGCCAGCCGGTTCGCTGGCTTGGTTCAGTAGCCGGGCTGGATTAGCTGAGTCGAGCTCAGTTTATATGAGTTGAGTTTGGCCACGTCAAAAAATATAAAAGTAA